TTACTACTATCCGAGTTTCTTGATATAAAATCTGTCAGATTGAGACATGCCGCATTAGTGTTGGAGTTTGTTTCAAAGCCAGATTGTTCACTAAGAAGAACACCATTGTTTCTCAAGAATTACGTTAGACGGTTTTTTACGATAATTTCAAAAATTTTAAATAGTGCAGGTAATACCGAGATTGGTCTATAGTTCGAACAAACATTTCTTGCACCACCCTTGTGAACTGGAGTTACTATGGCCCTGTTCAGTGATTTCGGGAAACAAGATGTCTCAAAAGACCTATTTATAAATTTTGCCACCATTTCACTTAACCGAAATTCCATCACATCCAGTTGCTGCTTCCGAATTAAGTGAATCACATTTTTCACCTGTTCCGCATCAGTAGACCACATATAAAAACTAGAAAAAATTGTTGGCTTAAAGTTGTTCATATACTCGTGATCGACCGAATCTGCTGGAATATTAAATCTTTCCGTAACATTCACAAAATAATCATTAAAACATTCTGCAATTTCGCTTTCCTCGAAAACAGTGTGGTTATCAAATATTATGGGCCTGATAGTGGCATCGTTCGTCCCTGCATTATTGTTAGTATTAAACATAATCCTTTTATAAATACCCCATAGAGTTCTACTATTAATAGGATCCCTTGAAAGTTTTTCTGAATAAAACTTTGCTTTTGCATTGCAACCAGCTTTCTAACAGTAATTTTAGCATCCTCGTACAAAACTCGAACGTGAAGATCATCCTGATATTTTTTGAAATACTTGAAATATGAATCACGAACCTTTATTGCTTGTACAATTTCATTAGTTACCCATTCATATCTGTTTTTCGTTTTCATTAGTTACCTATTCATTATCTGTTTTAGCCGCTCCACAAAAATGTCAAAGTTATCAATAGATGCAAGACCTGTCCAGATGTCAGGATCCGCTAGTTTCTCATAGTCATTCTTTATATTTGGTCTAATATCCACGCTTACAAATAACAATTGACGATCTGACATGCACTTTTCCGAAACATGAAAATTGTACAAATATTTATTTAAGTCCGAAATCATATGATCAACTATCGTGCTTGAAGCCACTTTAGTTACAAAATCAGTCGACAATTTATTACAAATAACTCAGCACACCCACGCCTTAATAAATGCATATTAAAATCTCCAAGAATAATAGATCGACGGTTTTTCTGAGTAATCGCGTCAAATTTATCAATAAAATCTCCAACACGCGTTTTATATACGTTGATTCCTAAATTTACCAAGTTAATCACCAAAAAAGTTGAAGAGTTAAAAGCTTCACTGTGCACAAAAGTACTACTAATTCCCGTCTTAATATATACAGGGTGTCCGAGACTCAATGGTATTCCCGAAGCAGGGTGATAGAATACATGCAGACGAACAAAAAACACCTAGTGACATTTTCCTTTTTGGGCCCTTGTTCTCGAGTTATGGGGCCTCAAAGTTGGAACATCCAAAAACCGGCTTATTTTCACATTTTTATTTATAACTCGGGAAATGTGACAGGTAAATCCAATCTTGTACACTCGTTTTAAAGCTAATGAAATACTCATTCTAACGGTTTACCAGCGGTTGCAAATGCTTTTTTAGTTTCAGAGATATTTAAGTGCAAAGTCAAAATTTGTTAAAAATTTTTTTTTTAAATTTTCGTTTAACCGTCATTTACTCATAATTCCTCGTTATCAACCTATCATTTTTTTTACAGGAAGACGAGCCCTATATTCTGACCTTCATTTTGATATGACATAATGTGGGAAAAATTTTAGAAATAACATGTCTATCAGGCGAAAACTGAGGCCAAAACCTTAAAAATTAACTAAAACAACGTATTTTTCAAACAAAAACAAATTTTTTTAATCTTTATTGCGCAGTATATGCATTATTAACATGCACTTTTTCTTTTCCAAAACGAAAGACATTTGCATTACCTTTGTTTCTCCACAAAATATTTCCAAAAGTTTCAGGAATATCGTGTCTACGGGGATCAAATTTATAAAAAAATCAGTTATAATCGATAAATTAGTTATAATCCAAGTAATGTTCACCCTCTGATCTTCTGCGTATTTTGATATTATTCTAAAAATCCAATTGATGATCTTCAGGTATACATAATGTAGAAAATTTTAATTTTCATATTACTTACAAGAACGTTTTTTTGTAAGTAAACTTCTTTTTTTTTATATCCATATATCCTTATAATAATACTTTTACTAATACTTTTAATTGGATCTTTTAATATTCTTATTCACATGAAAGTAGAGTTAGTAAGTATTTTAGTATTCTTAATCAGAAAAAAAAAATTAAATACTTTTTATCATAACTACATTGGACCCTATTGCTCCAACCACTTTTCGCTTTTATTTAAATCAACTTAAGTATCAAAAAAATTGCAAAATTTCTGTCGCATCAAGATTTAAAACACTAATGAACTTCACCTAAAAAAAGTACTTTTAATTTTGATTCATATTATTTAAACTATTATTAAGGGTATGAAATAGAAAAATTTGTATAAATAGCATTTTAGTTAATTTTGATCACTTTAATTTGGCTTTCCTATTAAAAAACACTCTTGTAAGTAATAAGAAAATTAAAATTTTCTATATTACCTACAGGTGAAGATCACTAATTACATTTTTCGAATAATAACAAAACACAAAGAAGGTTAAAGGATGAATATTTCTTGAATTATAATTAATTTATCGCGAAAAATCTCGTTTTTGTTGTTTTTTATAAATTTGATCACCGTAGACACGGTATTCCTGAAACTTTTGGAAATATTTTGTGGAGAAAAAAAGGTAATGCAAATGTCTTTCGTTTTGGAAAAGAAAAAGTGCATGTTAATAATGCATATACTGCGCAATAAAGATTAAAAAAATTTGTTTTTGTTTGAAAAATACGTTGTTTTAGTTAATTTTTAAGGTTTTGGCCTCAGTTTTCGCCTGATAGACATGTTATTTCTAAAATTTTTCCCACATTATGTCATATCAAAATGAAGGTCAGAATATAGGGCTCGTCTTCCTGTAAAAAAAATGATAGGTTGATAACGAGGAATTATGAGTAAATGACGGTTAAACGAAAATTTAAAAAAAAAATTTTTAACAAATTTTGACTTTGCACTTAAATATCTCTGAAACTAAAAAAGCATTTGCAACCGCTGGTAAACCGTTAGAATGAGTATTTCATTAGCTTTAAAACGAGTGTACAAGATTGGATTTACCTGTCACATTTCCCGAGTTATAAATAAAAATGTGAAAATAAGCCGGTTTTTGGATGTTCCAACTTTGAGGCCCCATAACTCGAGAACAAGGGCCCAAAAAGGAAAATGTCACTAGGTGTTTTTTGTTCGTCTGCATGTATTCTATCACCCTGCTTCGGGAATACCATTGAGTCCCGGACACCCTGTATAGCGCAGCCACCATAAGGAACATCAAGATTCGAGAAATACGATGATACCCATGAATATTATAAAAAGGATTTTCATCTTCCTTCAATCAAATTTCTACTAAAGAAACCACATGAATATCAAAAGCATACGAATTTATTAATAACTCCAAATAATTCAATTTGTTCCGCAAATTTAGAACATTCAAATACAAAACATTCAGATTGCCTATAAAAGAAAAATAATGAACCTTCAAGCCGTCACTAACATATATTTATGTAACTGCATGATTACAATTACTATGAAAACAGAAACAGAAAACAATTGCTATGAAAAAGAAATATTGAATTGAGAATACAACTGATACCAAAGACGTCACTCTATTTAATGTGCATCTTATCAAAACCTGTTGTAATACAATTAGTTTATCCAAAATTGTCTCGGTAGTCATATCGAATAAAAATTAATTTATAAAAAATACCTCGTTATAGTTAATGAAACTATTTCAGAGGCAAAAATATAGTTAGCTTCCCATCGAAAATTAAACATTAAAGTGAATTTTGTCAAAAATTTAGTACTTAAAAAATCATAGAGAATATGAATATTTTAGGTGTAATACTTTAAAACAATTGAGTAGAAAAAATTAAGTGCATATAATATTCCTTCACAATCAAGCTTAAAAAGAGTTTTTGAATTTGAAAGTTTTTTTTTCTTTTTTAAATATTACAAATAAGAAAGTAAAATGTTTTATTGTAAGAAAAAAGAAAGAAATTAATTTATATAATATAGTTCAGGTAAAATAAGTGAATCAACTAATGTAGTAATATATATAAAAGTTAGTACATATATGTGTTTATAAAGAAACAATTTAAAAATATATTTATTTTGTATACATATTAAAGAAAAGTTCAAAAATGTTAGATTAAAATAACAAAATATAAAAAATAGTGAAAATAAAATTTTTTCTATACATATATAAAATGAAGTGCATGTAAATCACTATTTTTAAACTTTTTTTTAGATAGGTTAGTTTTTATCATATTATTGTAATTTACTCTATTGTGAATTAATGTTTTTTATTGTGAATTAATGTTATTTTTCTTTGTGTTGTTCTATATTAATTTGATTGTCTTCCACTTCGCAGTCTAATTCATCTTAAGTTTACAATTCTGATTTATTAGATTTCTGATAATACTAAGTTTGAACATTACCTCATCTGTGATTCTGCAAATAACTGTTATAAATGCAAACTATGCAAACAAAATAAATTTTGAAAATAAACATCAATTTATTTTAACATTACAATAATATGAATTATATTATCAAAATTGAAGCTAATTTTGAGATAGTTACAAATAACTTCAAAACATAGTTAATCATTGTTATTTAATTTTAAACTAATTTCAATAGTAAAAATTTGTTTAGGAATTTTATTTAACTGATTTATATGCTCCTGGGGGCGATGAAATTCCTCTTCAAGATCCAAATCCAGTTCTCAACTTGACACGGATTGAAGGCAAGAGATTAGCGATTTTCTTACGATTACATGATAAAGAAAATGATGAAGTGTTAGTTAGAGTATACCCAGGAAAATTACAATCGCAAGTTGAAGAATCATATGTGAGTGTCTCTGTAGACAATAACACAACCGTCAAAGATTTAATTAGGAACGCTTTAGATAAATTTGGTTTACACGATAATCAAGTGCAAGACTATAGGTATGCTTTAAAATATATCTAAAATATTTATTTACGCCTTCAATTATCTTTTTTTTCTATAATTAAGATGTTCTGAAGTATTACTTGATCGTGGGGTCACCGAACGTATTTTGCTTTGGAATGAACGGCCTTGGGAAATAATGAAACAACTTGGCAAGGATTCAATTAGACAAATGGAATTAATGCGGTTTTATTTGCAACATAAACAGGACCCACATGGTCCAAACATAGCCTTGTTTATCGGAAATTTACCACCCGGCCTGTCGCAAAGAAATTATGAACAAATTTTATGTAAATATGCAACGGAGGAAAATAAATTTTCCAGTATCGGTCCAATTTATTATGAATACGGTTCAGTTGTAATAATATACGAAGATTCACAAAAAGCTGTGAGTGGAATTTTAACGTTAGCTTTAAAATTTATATTAGTTTTTTCGTTTTAAAGGTTCGAGCTTTTTATAATCTTCGTGATGCAGTTATTGAAGACAAAAAGCTTTTGGTGTTATTGTTGCCAAATATCGAACCTCGAATGGTTCCTTCTGATGTTAGACCTTTACTTGTTTTCGTTAATGTTAAATCAGGAGGATGTCAAGGTTTAGAATTAATATCTAGTTTTAGAAAACTTTTAAATCCATACCAAGTTTTTGATTTAGACAATGGTGGACCTCTACCTGGGTAAGATATGAAGCCGTTCTCTGTAAATGATAGTTTATTATTATACTTTTCGCTTTTTTTTTGTGCTTTAGCCTTTATGTGTTCCGTCAAATAAAAAACTACAAAATACTGGTTTGTGGAGGCGATGGAACTATTGGGTGGGTGCTACAATGCCTTGATAATGTAGGCCAAGACTCAGAATGTTCAAGTCCCCCTTGTGCTATAGTCCCGCTTGGAACAGGTAAAAAATAAAAACATTCAACAAAGTTGTATATGTTTGGAGTATTTCAAAATTAAAAGAAAATCATGAATTTTTATTATTTTAGGTAACGATTTAGCTCGGGTATTGCGGTGGGGTCCCGGATACACTGGAGGTGAAGATCCATTAAACCTGTTACGTGATGTTATTGAAGCTGAAGAAATTCGGTTGGATCGTTGGACAGTAGTTTTTCACCCAGAGGACAAACCTGATGAACCAACAGTTAAACCGCCTTCAAACACAACTGGTAAGAAGAAGACGATTCATCAAACTCAATTATCACAACAAAACCAGCATTTTCATGTACCGATGTTGTGTTCGAGTGATATATCAGGTCAATAGGTGTCTGTTTTAATTGTTATATTTGTCAGCTTTGTTATCTCTCGTTCAATAGTTATTTGAAAATAAGATCGTAACACCATTAAGAGTCGCAACATTATACTCAAAAGAATTTGTATATATCAGCCTTCATCTTTTAAGCATAGTATATTGCTTTTTTTCTAAATGAATATTGTGCGGGAGATATGTAGCTGAAAACTAATAAATCATTTTGTTGTGAATTTCATATGTTTCAGCTCAAATGCTTTTCATGATTCGTATTATTATAACTTTTATTGCATAAATTTTTGAAAATAATAGAAAGTAAATAATTTTCAATTACAACATGTTACAATATCAATTTGAACATTTTTACGACTGCGTTGTGTACAATAAGGTAGGATATGTGATGGCACCAAAATTTGGATGTTTTCGGTGGGAACATATTTCTCCATGAAGTGCTATGAACATGTGCTGGCCACATCACATTTTTTTATTGTCTAGGACAATTTTGTTTTTACACAAGAGCTTTTAAAAAAGATTTGCAAAGTTTTTCTGAGAAACTACTATTTAGAAACAAAGCAGAACATACTTTCTATGCGTAATCCTATGTATTATTTGTATGCTAAAAGTATGCTACATTCAAATCGTTTACGGCCAAGACTACAAATTCAAAATTTTTTACTAAATTAACTTCGATACGGAGTTCGTAACCAACTGAAGGAGTCATCTGCGGTTTGGACATGTATATGTATTCTTGCTGAGTGTATAAAATTTCGTGTCGAGCTAGACAGGTCCGTCCGTCCCCGTCCAATCGCGCGATAACTCAAAAACAAATAAAGCAAATACGACTAAACTTTCACAGGTTTGTGACAAGGACGGACCGTACTGTTATTGGATTCGGCAAACGCGTTCGGGTAGCTGCAGTACAACTCAAAGGGATTATTTTAAATGTTTCAAACACAAGTAATTATATAAATATGAAATTTTTATGAAATACATGTTCTACCTCCAAACGCTAATTTTAAATATTTGGAAAAATAATAAAGTCAGATTCATGAGACTTGGCAGTCGTGTGTCTAATTGTAGGTCAGAAATGTCAGTGAAATTTTTGTTGCCAAAAAAGAACAAAAGCTAATTCTTAATATTTAATAAGCAAGTCTTTAGGGGTAGTTTTGGAGAGTTGAAAAAATCGGATTGGAAATATTCTCTCCGACCAATATCCATCATAGCTTCGAAGCTGTTAAAGCTAGAGCAAGGTGGTAATTGATTCATTGAATTAATTATTTATGTACATAAACTGTATAAATACATTTATATCTCAAGTCTTCAAACAAATTTGAAATAAATGCATCGGGGATTTTTGCTAAAAGTTTTCTTAATATTATCTTAATATCTCTTTTAGGTAAATGTTGAATTAAAAAGTGAATTAAATGAATTAAATATTTTTTTTATTTGGCCAAAAACTTATTTTTGTGTGTTTTGATTTATTTTTTTTTTTACACCAAATTTTAAACGTCGAGTTTTTGGTGGGAACATACATCTCCACGGTAGAGAAGCGAAAATAAATAATTTTTAAAGAGATTTCGATCGTCGCTCTGTGTGAGCGTATCACAAGGTCAGCTGAACCGATGATATTTGATGATATTTTCATTACAAAAATTTTCTCTCGTAATTATGTACGCATATTATACAATTTATTGTGTTTTCCCGTTTTCCCGATACTTTGCAAAAACAATTATAAATTTTGAAAGACATATGCAAACACAAACTTTTTCACACCATACTTCTATCACCTTATATTTGTAAAGACCAAATTTTCAATGCTTTGCAGAATTATTAAATTTCCTTTAATAATTTCTGAATAATATAATTTATTATTAATATTAATAAATTTGCTTTATTATTTTTTGGTAGCTGCCATACAACTTGGAAAGTTATTTTGCTATATCGTCGGCTGAGTACTGATCGAGAGTTAAAGCAAATTAACTAAAGAAGGTCCAGTGCGATTTTGATACATATCCACTTTTTTGATCAAAAATGTCAAACACAAACTTAAAAAAAAATTTGTCCCCCATGCCCCATTATTTTTCATACACTTGTTTTACAAAAATTATTATATCGCTTATTTTTAAATTCAGTTTAAATTTACAACATACGTAAAATATGAACATTTAACCTAATTAAATTGAAAGAATTCGAACAATAGATTTTCCTAAACTAATAATTCTGTATAAAGTTCGTAATCACTTGAAAGAGTTTTCTGCTGTATAGATATTTAAGCGTAAGATTCTTCTTTAATTTCGATAAGTGTCTTTGTTCCGTCGCATAATTATCCAAAAAAGAGCACGAAACTTTCAAAAATTGTTTTTTTATTTCTGCCAGGGACTGTTGCTAATTTTAGGAAAACAATTCGAACTATGGATTCCATTACTGCTATGCCACTTAAGAAGATTATTTTTAACAATTAGAACTCATATATTAAATTTTAAGAAAGTCCGTCAATCCGTTAGGAAGAAATGGTAAAAGATGTAAAATCGGCTTCCAGATCAGTTTCCGAGCCATGATCTTTCCAAAAAAATATGTATTCATTATTTCAACACCTCGAATTTAAATATTAAATTTCAACAAAATAGGTTGATCATTTCTCTTTATATACGCAAAAATGTATATTTGGCCGGTAGTAAACGTCCAGTTGCTGACACCTTATTTCTTCGAAAAGCTGGAAGGTTTCGCGTACGGTCGAATCTAGCTTATATATGAAATTTTAGAAAAACCTGTTGAATATTTTCTTCAAAAGGATCAAAAATGTAAAACAGGCCCACTAAAAGGTTCAGTTCCTGAGGCCTGATATATTCAAAAAGTTGATCATCCATGTCATAGCCGAAATAAACTTACATATAAAATTTCATCAAAATCGGTTCAGCCGAACTTGAGATACACGCGAGCACATAAAAACCGACAGCTTGCTCAAAGTAGTTCATTTACACTTGCCTACCATGGAGAAGTGCGCTCCCACCGAAAACTCGATAAGCAAAATTTGCAATCATATAACTTACCTTATTTATTACACTATGTGGTCCGCAAAATTTTTTTGTATGACATGGGTCATTAAAGTATTCAAAAATTTTATTAAAAAATTATTTGAAAATTTGATTAATACACCAAATATTTTGGATATGGATGAAAATGATATAGCGAAAAACTGAATACATATACTGAAAGATCATCTTCCAAAACCAATGAAAGTGGTCGTAAGTCAAAAATTACGAAAGTGGCTCTCAACCGACGATATCCTAAAAACTGTTCACCCAACAATACCGGAGTTTGGCAAAGCCAAATATGTTAAAATAAAAAGTTGTTTAGATGTCATGAGCGCTTGAGATAGCTGTCATACTACTCCAAAAATTATTTGGCCATATCTCAGGAAATATTTAGGCTACAGTTTTGAAAATTTTTCAAAAGCAAGTATATTATTGAGGCTGTTATGTTTGATAAAAGCCGCTGAAATTTCTCGACTACTTTTGTTAACTTTCATACAACTCCGAATGTTGTTTAATCATGGCTAAGTAAAACTCCATTAGGTTGTATAGGCTTATATGGCAACTACCAGATATGTATAAAATAGCACTAGACATATAAAAAGCAAGAAGTTGTACGAATCTGTATGCCAATCATCTCCGACATTTAAAATCATTTATTCATACGGGTATCACAGAGCTGACACGGTTAAATATATCTATTCTCGTTTTGTATATTTTTATACTGAATATTGACGAGTAAGAAGTAACAAAAGTAGTTTACGCTTTTGCAATTATTTCCGATTATTTCTGTGTGTAAAATTTTTTGCCATTGTAATGATACCAAAAGCTCCTGGTGCGAATCACACTAATTTGAAATATTTTTAACAATATTAAAACAAAATTAACACGTTGAGCTTCACAACTATAAATAAATATAAATATATAAAATACTTATGTTGAGATAAAAAGTAAATATAAATAAAATTGGGTCAAACCAATGGTTTGTATGGTAGCACTTTTCCTTTCAACAAGTGAAAATACTGCTTTTAAATACAATGTATGTACACCTACCTCACTTTTAAAATTATTTAATTAAATCATATACGAAACTATTATTATGAATCTAGGATTGCATATATTTAGGATAAACGTTTTATGCAGTCTCTGAAATAAAGCCAAAATTACTTTAAGGGGGGTTAACTTAATGCTCGATTTTAAGGGTTAATTGCGTGAGTTAAGAAAAATAATTATACATTTTAATGCCATGGAAGCTTTCTGCGTTTATAGAAATTTAAAAAAGGTTGCGGTTTCGAAAATATAAGGCGCCAATAACTCAAATTTTGCAAATTTCAAGAGATGACTTGAAAGAAGGTAGAGATAGAAAAAAATTTTCTTCTAACGAAATGAATTATTTTTCGGTGTCTAAAAGCTTCAGGCTCCCACAACCTGTGGTCTACAAGAAAAACGACATCAAAAATTAGGAACAAACGGATTTAAGATAACGTTGAATATGAACGGCCATTTCGTCTTTAAATGCAAATACAAAGTAAATAAAACAAAAAATATGGGACGAGTCCCCTTTTTGGCGCATATAAAACGAATTCCGATTTGCGTGAAAATTAATGTTTACATTTACGGTGTTTACACCATAAACTTCTAAATTCTTAGAAAATTTCAGGGCCCAGAAACCGAACTAGGGGCCGAAGTTTGATTTGTAATCATATCTATGAAACTAATTGATGAAATTTCTTGAAATTAAAAATTTGAGGCCTGTTTGCTATCAAAACTAACTGACGACCTTTTAAGGAAATTTATCATAAAGTTATCAGTGCGCCTCTGATAAGGGCCAAATTTACATTTTTCTAGGTATGTTAGCTAAAAGCGTACTAGCCCCCCTAAAATTTGTGAGAAGTATTAAGAAGGCATTTTCGTAGTCGTATATAACATTTTAGCTAAACTAGGGAATATCTTGCAGTCGATTATGTTTTGATCATACCAGATTTTTTTTTTATATAAATGAACATAATGCTTGCAAAGGATATTCGTTATTACGTGAAGTTTATATAGAACTTAATTTTTTATATTTTGTGAGTTAACAGCTTACCTTTCTGAGTTTTAATTTTCCTTCCCTTATTTAATTAATTACTAATCTACATACATTCATATTTTGACGCGTTGAGTCTCAATGTATTATCGGTGAGCAAGTTTAAAATGCCAAAAATGATGAACGTAGTAAACCCTTATGCGTTAAATCATTGCAGAACATACGAGTAACTAAGTAACGCAGAAATAAATTTGATGTCTACGGAGAAAAACAATCTTAATAATTTATATATGTATAGATCTTTTATTTATTCATATACTTAGTTTCTCTACATTGTGGGACTACACCTGTGATATAGGGACAAAGTAAGTCACCACAGGTCCGCACGGACTCTACTAAGTCTTTTAAGAATTGTCTTTAAAAATTTGTTTTCAAAAATATTTGAAATTAGTGCGATTCGCACCAGGCTTTCCAGTATTTATATATTATATATTGGTGCCACATTGAAGTTTTTAATGACCACATTCCATGAAATATATGATCCGCACAAGTATATGATACCTATGCGGATCTATATATCTATTTCGGCAGAGCCGATTTTTATTTACTGAACTGAATTTACTTCAGTTATGTCACAATTTTATCAGCTTTTAGGACATGTCAGGTCACGAAAACTGGACCTTTATTATAAAAATATGGAACAGTTTTTCTCAAAACTTCATATATAAGCTTCGTCTTATATTACGAGAAGGAATCAGATATCAAGAACAGGACTTTTAATACGGGCCAAGATTACATTTTTGCGCATATAAAGAGAAATATTCATCCAACCTCGTGAAATTTAATCTTTGTATCCAGGGCTTTAACACTATCAATTTATAAACGTTTTGGTAATGTTGGGGATTTGACACCAAATCAGGGGACGAAATTTGATTTGCAATATCTATCGAACTAATTGATGGAATTTCTTAAAATTAAAAATTTGAGTTCCGTTTGCTGCCAAAACTGATTGACGGATTTTTCAGAGATTTTATTGAGCATGAAATGAGCCTCTGATAAGAGCAAAATTTAATTTTTCTAGGTATGTTAACTAAAACCGCACCAGCCTCCCTAAAATTTTTGAGAAGTATTTAGAAGGCATTTTCGTACTCTTATGCAACATTTTAGCTAAACTAAACAATATCTTGCGGTCGGTTATGTGTTGGCCATATCTGATTTTTACAGACCGCGTTGTCTTCAGTAAGGTAGGTTATGCGATGCCACCAAATTGCGGATGTCGAGTTTTCGATGGGAACGCACTTCTCTATAGTGGGGAAGTGTAAATAAACTACTTTTAGAGATTTGTCAGTCTTTATGTGCACCCCTGGGTCTCAAGTTCGGCTGAACCGATTTTCATGAAATTTTGGAATATATTAAACCCCCGGAACTGAACGTATTTGCGAGCCAATATTACATTTTTGCCTTTATGAAAGAAAACTATCAACCAATTTCCTTGAAATTTATTTTAAATTATTGGGGTTTAAAGAATTTATTGAGGATTGGCATTATGTAAAATGGGGGTGTTCAAGCAATGAATCTATAAATTTGGAAAGATCTGAGCTCAGAAACCGAACTTGGGGCCGATTTTATATTTTTAGCATATTTATGGAACGGATAAATTGAAATTTGATATTTGGGTTACCGAAAGTAACTGGTGAATCACATATAATACATTGTTAAGGCCAACCGTCGGCAAACTTTTGCTGGTTATAGGCAAGTATGCACTATGCGAGTATGAGCATGGGCCAGTTGAATTTTTTACATTACCTAATTAGAGGAGGAAATGGTACTTTCAACTGACTTTATTGATTGTTTTATTTTGACAAATAATAATTTTGTATGGAATTTTATGTATTAGGTAATATTACCTAGGATTCAGTCTTTAAAATCTTTTTCAAAAAAATTTTTCAAGTTTTAATAGTCGCAATTGAATATTTTTTTTTTCTGCAAGCAGAGTGATAGTTAAATTCCGCATAATTTTTGTTCGAAACTTAGTGTACAAATCGAAACCGTTTCTGAGCAACAGGGATTTTAAGAAAATTTTGACATACCATATAACTTTCATTCCGAAATAGATAGAAGCTTCAAATGAAGAGTTAAGAAAGGGCTAGTAAAGGAATTGAAAGCAACATATTATTTGATTTTGTATTTCACAATGTTTCAGAATACCAAGCATTCGAACTTTATAAAAAACCAAATTTTTCCTTCTTGTATTTTTGTAGCTTTCCCTAACCCAATAATTTCGTATAAGATTTTTCTTACAGCATTTTGGCCACTAATTTAATTAAAATCAATAAGCAATAAAAAGCATTTCTAAGCCAAGATTTTAAATACCCTAATAAAATGTAGAAATCAAAAAAATTTGATTTTATTGATATTTTTGATTTTCATTGATTTTAAGTGCTCTAATTATCAACTATTAGTACTTTTGATTAAAAAATTCACTCTAAAATGCAGTTTTTGAGAATTGTCATTCTGGTAATTCGTAAAATTTCGTACGATATTATCGGGTTAGAAAAAACTAAAAAGTTAAAATAAGGGTAAAATTTAATTTTTTTTAAAGTTTGAATTACTGTGTTATATACTGAATATTAAAATTGCTGTATTTTGGAAATCAATGATAAAAAATTCCCCTCTTTTAACCCCTCTTTATTTAGGTCACAACTATCATTAGAGTATTTTTATTTAGGGTAACTCTTCTCAAGTATTATTGCAATCTTATAAGAATATGATTTAAAATATTCGTTTTTTTTTTTATTATCTGCTCATTCTTCTCATAAATGTTGTAACTAATACATGACCAGTTTAGGTGTATTTAAAATATAAAATATTGTGTTATTTTATACATAGGAGGCGCTCAAAGTGAAGACAATTCTCAAATATTTGTTATGAATAACTATTTTGGAATAGGAATAGACGCAGATCTTTGTTTAGATTTCCACAATGCACGGGAAGAGAACCCAAATAAATTCAATTCAAGGTTACATAATAAAGGAGTGTATGTTAAAATGGGTCTGCGAAAAATGGTTGGAAGAAAAATGGTAAAAGAACTTCACAAGGAAATTCGTCTAGAAGTTGATGGAAAAGTGGTAGACTTGCCGCCAGTTGAAGGAATAATAATCTTAAATATACTAAGGTAATCTTTTATAATCTCAAAATTTAAGAATTCAAATTTGCTGCATGATGCAGTGTACAAAAACAAAGTGTTGATTCCCGTTTTTGGTACTTCAAATTTGTGCTATTTTATAAGAAGATATTAATATTTTTCAAAGTTTATGTCAAAAAGAGTTGATACTTTCACGTAATCCACATTTAATTCTTGCTTCTATTACATCATCAATTTATCATTATTTTTTCTTTCATTTAACACTAATAATATAAACATTTTTCATCAGAATTGAAAAAATAAAAAGACGTACAATACGAGTAGATAAGAGGATTTAAAACCAATTGCATACAAAGAATTTACAGAGCTGAATTTATCATAAAGTATTTTCACTATCAGCAACCTCAGCGCCGAACGTCGTTGAAATTTGTCCAAACACACAAATATTACTATACATAGTCGAGCTCATTTTCCATACTTTCCCCCGAATCTACTACAAAGATAAAAAATTTATAACTTAACAAAAGTTAATATTTTACACTAACAACTTTTTTTTTCAACATATACTTATTATTTTGTACTTAATAATTTGCTGTGGTCTCTTTCATCAAAGATTGAAATAACATCTTTATATCTAACAAGTCCCAATGCTCAAAAGACACTTAAAAGCACGACCTTATTTTATATGGGGTTTTTTAAATCGAAGTGGCTATTTTTTGAGAAGAAATGTTAAAATAAATTCACACTTATTATAAAGCAGGTAAAATTTTGAAAATATATTTGAAAAATCAAAAAAATATATTAATATTTTCATTGATAATTATTTTAAAATTTAATTTTAAACGCCTTCGCCTTCAAACGTTTTATATGTTATTGAAAGCATTTCATTATTTTTAAGTGAACAGTTTTTTTTTTCTCATAGGGTAAGTTAACTCAAGATATGGGGAGTAACTGTGGTGTCAATTTGAAAATATAATTAATGAAATATAATTCTTAAATATTACATAGTAAAGAAAAAATTTGAAGAGGGAATTAGAAAATAATATCTAAAATACAATCAAATATTATTTGTAAAATGCAAATTTTATATCAACTTCAAAATTTTACCTCTATTTTTATTTGAAAAAATATTAAAAACTAAGAAAAAAAAATATTTAAAATATTTGGAAAAAACAATCATATATTTTTATGACCGGATTTGAATATTTTTTTATTTTTGAAGTAAATGGTATTTTACCAAATGACTCAAACATTCCAATGTAAAATAACAGGTATTTTAAAATTTTTGTTCTTTATGTAATATTCTTTCCGTTTAGAATTAAGATAGGTCATACATACATAAATAGATTGCTCTTGTTTACCTGCTAATAAAATATGAAAAAAGAGAACATCAAAATTTTTGAAACACTCAATATAACATGTTTGAAATAGTTTTAAAATAATTATTTAAAAAAAATTTTATTGGAAGTAGGTACATACATATTTATTTTTAATAACTTAAAAACTAAGTGAAATTAAGTATTTGAAACAATTTTATAAGTAACGTATAAATAACCGAAATGAGATAATTCAAATTGTTGAAATGTGTCAACCTATATTACTTTTAATAACATTTTTGTTAGCCGACACTACTCAACTTACCTTATTGGGAAATATAAAATGTGCATAAAAAATCATACATCCTTCCCCATTAACATTTGAAACCATACTGAAATATGAATTTTAAATTTTTTTTCATTTTTTCTTTCCTCCTACCTTTCTTTCTTTTTCGTGCAATAGAATTTAAATGGGAAGCTTTTTAAAAAATGTGTATAATATCCTGAGATTTTTTAAAATATTAAACTCTTTTTTACTTAAAAAAAAGAAAAAAATAATAAAAAATATGACACGATCAGTGGCATTTAAAGAAAAAACCAGCAACGAAGCCAAAAATTCGTAATATTTCGTAAAAAAAATTGAGTATTGGGACTTGTTAGATGTAAAGACATTAATTGAAATTCACAATTAAAGTGTTTGTACTAATTACACACATTTATTTATAACATTAGAATTTTCTATAATAAAATTTATGATTTTGGATAAAAATGTTTTATTATTAAAATATATTAATATTTATCAATAAAATATAATAAAATATATTTTTTTTTGTTAAACTCTATTAACATATCTCTTGTATGAACAGGGTAACAATATTTTGATCTAAGAAGATCAGAGAAATACACTCATCATTAAAAAAATTAACTCACCAAGAGTTTTCTATAAAAAACTTTTTCTTATGTTTCTTAATCTTAAAATTTCCAATGTCAATTATAAACAAAAATTAGCAAAATAACGATTTTACTTTTTGAACTATGAGGTAACGTTTTGTTCAGAAGATACCAGTTTTAACATACCTTATATCTTAAGATTTTGTCAACAACAATGTTTTTATTTCCTTAACTACTGTTACACTTTATATATTAAATAAATTTCATATCAAATTAATATCACCAAAAACACATATTACATTAGTTGGGGATCAGGAGCAAATCCTTGGGGACCTGAAAAAGAAGATAACTTCACTAAACCAAATCACTACGACGGAATGCTTGAAATTGTTGGCGTTACTGGAGTTGTGCATCTGGGTCAAATTCAATCTGGATTAAGATCTGCGATGCGCATAGCACAAGTAATTATGTTTTGTATTGATGCGTTTTTATTCTTAAAATAAAAAATATTGAACTCAATTTTAAAATACCAAATTTTTTTGTAGGGTGGTCACATAAAAATTCATCTACATTCAGATATTCCAGTTCAAGTTGATGGAGAACCATGGGTACAAAGTCCTGGTGATGTTGTCGTTCTTAAATCAGCTTTAAAGGTAAAATTAAAATAAAACGCACACAATTAAATATCATTTACACACAAATTTATATAATTCCATCTTTCATAGATCAATTTAAATAAGTTCTCACTTATCATTATACCGAATAATTTCTGCTACCAGAATATTAATGAAAGGGATTTAAGCATACATATTATGTAAAAAAATAGGCTATACAAAGAAAGCGAAAAGAAAATTTTCTAGTTAAAGCGGTATTGTGATTTTCTCATTAATCCCTTAGATGAAACTTTTGTTCTATACCCCTTTGAGAAAATGTGCGACTTTGTTAACAACTACTTTTAGTTTTATCTGCAAATATTAATGCTCTCTTGATGAATTAAACCTTTCTACAAAAATCCTAAACCAATATTTCAATATTTACATATGAATTTCTATTATATCTACTAGCATGTTTCAGGGCGCCGAAAGCACCCAATCTCGGTATTTATGGAATCGAAAGTTGAACTTTTTTAATTTTTTTTTCTGATTAATTGGTTTTTCTACTACATATACATACTTTAAAAATTAAGTAATTTAAAAAAAATCATTACATTCTACATATATTAATATCTTAATAAGTTAGGAAATTAAAAAAAAATAATAAAAAATTCCTGTGTAACCGATGAAATCTTTAAATTTCTAGAATTAATATATGTATAAAGAATATTATTATATTTAAAAATGCTTTAAAATACTAGGCCTTTTCTCCTTCGGAAGAAAGTGAACTTATCTTTCTTTTATCTAGTTATTAAATTGAAAAGAAATGTTTCAAAAATGTTCACATTGAAATTTAGGATAATTTAGCTTCTTTGTGCTCGGCGTTGAGCATGGGCTGGACAACGACGAGCAATTTGTGTGCAACGACGGCTGTGGTCCGTTTTCAACTTAAATGTTACTAACATGTCATAATATCGTACTTCGCAAGGTTATAAGAAAAAAAAAAGAAAAATAGGACATTGGGATTGTAAGAGATAAATATCTTTATGTCCAATAATGAAAGTAATGCACACATTTAATGGAATATTATTATTATTATTATTATTATTTTTATTTATTATTATGTATTATTATCATTATTATTATTATTATTATTATTAATATTATTATTATTATTATTATTATTATTATTATTATTATTATTATTATCATTATAATTCAAAATTTATTTTCTATATTTTAGGAGCTATAAAAGCAATAGTATTGAAATTTTGCAGAAGCGAAATTTCAATTACTATATTAGTACGGTCAATGTGTTTGATGAAATTCATTGAAATTACTGGGTTCTTTCTAGTAGCTGCCATACAACTTCAATAGTAGTTAGGCCATATCTTACAAAACATTGAATATAAAATGTACACAGTACTGAAATTTTGCATAAATTAATATGGTAATATGGCAATTTCAAGTCGTAGCCTGTTCATTAATCATCTGTGACTTATTTATTCGCACATAGAATAACAAATTCGTACGGGTAGAGTTGACCCGGTCAACTCTATTTTTTCTCGCTTATTTTAAAAAGTGTTATAATAGACGCTTTGCATACTGAAACTTTATAAAGTTTGTTCAAGTTTTGCCAAGTTTTAAAGTTTCTTATACCAGACAGACCAATTTATTAGTTGGTTACTTCATCTAAATTGTTTTGGAATTTTAGGCATAATACGCAATGTGTTTTTTATCAGAAGGAATTGAAGCAAGTTATTCTTTATACTTTACTTTTCGAATATTTTGCGGATAGCTTAATGTTTATACTATAAGGACTTTTCCTTAACAAAATCGAAGTGTTACGAAATTTTTGATATTTTTTCAATAAGTATATAAAACTCTACACTAAAATGGGTTTTGTAGGGAAAAGGTTGTTGAACATAGTGACTTCGTACTTTGTGACGTCGCAGCCTGTGATGAAGCAAGAAACTTCTGCTCTATTACTTTTGGCTCACATAATTTTTGAAAGAATTTATTGTTAAAACCAATGAAGTTCTCGATGTCAAGCAAAAGTCAAATTAAAGATAGGAAGGAAAGTTTCTAGTCCTAATGTATTTAGATATATATACGTTCTCATAACTCGTATTGAACGATTTACTAACTGCATTTGATAAGTTAGGGTAGACTTACGTGTTTGATTAACTTATAAAATTTGATTTTCAAATAGCTTCAAACACTTTATAAAAGTGAAATATTATAATGACGACATACCTATAATACAAGTTAATATCTTGCAAGCAGTTTTTGCAAATTCGTTGGTAAGCAATTCTTTGTTCCATTCTGCCATTCACTTCCTTTTTAAGTGGCCATATCAACATAATATTGTCTTTAACCCATTTTTGTGGAATAGAAATGCTAATGAGTTTTAAACCATTCTCTATTGTTTCTACTACACAAAACACAATTTTGTTTTGATAGATTTTGTTTTAATTGAAAATAGATAGTGTCTGTGCTAATGGGAAGAAAACAGAAAAACTTCATTGATATCATTGATATTCCAAAAAGTTGCTGTTTGATTTAAAGATATTTAACAATTTCGAGTGAAATGGCTCCTCAGAAAAATTTTCTTTTTGCAATAAACTGGCTTCATAAATTACGGCACAATTATTTAAATATGTTACATATCTTGTTAAAAAAAGGTATCACCTGCATTAGATTTTAGCATGAAATTTTTAAATTTTACTTCTTGACATATTTCTTTACAATTACTTAATTGGCAATCCTCACTATCCTTTCGACATAAAATAGGACTTGTATTTTCATTGTTCAACACGCCAGTTATATGCTGAAAATCTTCCCAAATTCTGTTTGAAATTTGCTCAAGAAGTCTATTACCACAACGAACACGAAGTTTTAAATATTGTAGTCGATTCTCAAATTTGAAAGCACTAATTTCATCAAAGGAACTATGATTTTTTACCTTGTGAGTTAGTTAGTTTAAGCTATGAATATTATAACTGATATTTCCAGAGCCGTATAATTTTCCAAAACTTTCTACAAAAATCTTAAAAAGTTTTTCAGCAATGTTTATGAATTTCGCATTGTCTTTATTTATGCATATTGAAACGGCGCAGCTTAAATGCATAAAATTTTCATATACAGCATCATTTATTAAATTTTTTAATACGACAAGTGCCAAATTAAGAGAGAAAGTGCGCTACTCTGTTAGCTTTCTGGAAAATAATTATATTCCAAATAACTAAGAATTTTTTCATTACTCCTGGGCATTTAAAGCGCATATAATATAACGGAAAGTTTGTTACCATATCGCTGGACAAAAGTTCAGCTATATGGTACAAAAGTTCATGTTCTTCATGAACTTTTCTACGAATGAATCATCTATTCGCATAATATTAACTATATTTGAGGAAAACGTATTAGATGGGACGTGTAATTATAATCGACTTCGATATTGCGAGGTTCACAAGCAAAATAACCTTTGTGGCCGTTAATTCCCTATAAAAAAAGCTCATGCCTCCATATTAAATAAATTTAACAAGTAAAAACGTTTCAGTCGGTATAAACCGATTGAATTATACCCTGCACCTTTCGTTGTTGTATAGCAATTACTCAAACCAATTTTATAGAAATTTCACGGATAGTCTGATTTATAACTGGACACACAACTGCCAAGTTTCATGAATCTGATTTTATTTTCCCAAATATTTAAACTTTTGGACTTTTATGGGAGCTACTCGTAGCTGTAGAGCAATTCAACCGAAACTTCAGAAATATATCTGATCTATAACTCGACACACAACTGCCAAGTTTCATGAATCTGACTTTATTATTTTTCCAAATATTTAAAATAAGCTTTTGGAGTTGTATGGCAAGTACCCAAACTTGTCAAGCAATTCCATTAAAACTTCAGAAATTTGTCTGACCTATAATTGGACACACGACTGACAAAGCTCATGAATCTGACTTTATTATTTCTCCAAATATTTAAAATAAGCTTTTAGACATGTATGGGAGCTACTCGAACCTGTCAAGCAATTCCACCAAAACTTCAGAAATATATCTGGTCTATAACTCGAGACACAACTGTCAAGTTTCATGTATCTGACTATATTATCTTTCCAAATATTTAAGATTAGCTTCTGGAGTTGTATGGCAGGTACCCGAACCTATCAAGCAATTCCTCTAAAACTTCAGAAATATATTTGACCTATAATTGGACACATGACTGCCAAGTTTCATGAATTTGACTTTATTATTTTTCCAAATATAAAAAATTTGCTGTTGGAATTGTATGGCAGCCACCCGAACCGGTACAGCTATAACATTATGATTTTTAGAGTATGTGTAGAATATAATTGGACACATGTATACAAAATTTCATATTTATAGCTTTATTAGTTTTTGAAATATTTAAAATAAACTCTTTGAGTTGTATGGCAGCTACCCGAACCCGTTGTCCGAATTGGTCCAATAACAATAGGGTTCGTCCTTGGAGCAAAAGAAGCAACTTGTGAAAGTTTGGTGTCGATTGCATTATTCGTTTTTGAGTTATAGTGCGATCGGACGGACGGATGGACGGACGGACGGACGGACGGACGGACAGACGGACATGTCTAAATCGACGCAGAATTTTACGCTGAGCAAGAATATATATATATGCCCATACCGGAGATGACTCCTTCAAGTAGTTACAAACTCCATACCAAAGTGAATATACTTTTACGTGTAGGAATACCATCTATATTAAAAGCTAAAAAAATTTCCGAAAGGCAGTTATTTATTTTTTCAATGACTAAATTCATTGCACGAAGTAACCCGAAATACCAGTATATCAATTATATTTTATTGAATGTACATTCCTAATATTGTACGAGAATTTGATGGAAAATGAGGGTAAAAACGACGTTTTAATTTAAGTTTTTAATTTAAGTCTTATTATAATATTTAGATTCCATTAAAGCATTATCAAATACTTTTTAAAGATTATAAAGTTCGACACATTTTCAATTCAAAACCAAAATTTATTCTGAATCAACAAAAATTTGTTAATAAAA